TTATTGTCACAATGGCTCCTTTGGCTACTGCCCATGTACAATGTATGTTTGGATAAGTGCAGAGAGAAAGAGGTGCACAGGGAGAGAGGTGGTGATAGAGCCTGCACCTGTGTAATGGTATTGCTCTCTTGTAGCTTTCCTCTCACTTTCTCTCCCTCACTCTCCCCTTCCTCCTCCCTGCGATGCTGCTGATGCAGGCAAAAAGGATCCTTCAACATCTTTCTTTGCCCAGCTAACTATACATCACACACACAGTTCACACAGATATTCTAGACACACAAACATAGTCCACACACATGTGCTTCACTGCATACATGCACACACAAAGAGGAACAGTTGATGAATTGTTCTTACTAGGGTTTTCTGTATCTGAATGTCTGGCTTATTTTTTACTCTTCTTAGTTATGTCCGAGGACCATAATGGAAAATATAATAAAGCAGGTAGGATATGCTAACATCCTATCCTACTGTCTCAATCTGTAATTTTTTCCCTGTCCTTTCAATAGTCGTCAAGTATTCTCTGACAGTTATCAGGTGACTGAATCATGTTTGTAAGCAATCTGAATCAAAAGTGGTCTTCTGGGAATTAAATTAGGGACATTATAGCCTTACAGATTATTTAATGGCTAAGTTATGTTACAAAATTAAAATGTTGACTTTTTTTCAACTATTCCTCATACTGCATGTTTCACTTATCTGCTGCTTCCTGTCGTTCTTTCTCGTTCAGTTTTTCCTCTGCTCTCCTGCCAAGGCTTTCCCTGATCTGACAGCAGCACTCTCTCTCTCTCCCTCAGTCTATTGCAGCATACTAATGAACAAGACTGGTGATATTTCCTTCTTTCTGCAATGCTACGACACAAATCACTTTGTCATGTGGCCTAGCTATGACACAAACGAACACAGACAGTGACAGGCTGACAGCTCTGTGGCAAGCGATCCATCACGACATCAAACTCCTGGGGAATGTGCCTAAATGAAATCGCTGCTCGGACTGACTGTACTGGTAATAAGGAGTTTTTTGTTTAGCCAATTACATTGGTCTTGTTATGCTATATTCTTGCTGTGCTAATAGAGGGGCAGTTTTGCAGTGGATTGGAACACAGCCAGTGGGACCAGTTACTGTAGCAAGATCATCTGGGGCTGATCCTTGAAAGAACCTATAGAGAAGAGGGGGCACCCCACACCGCAACTGGGTATCCTATTGTACAAGAGAGACTTTAACAGAACATCCTCTTTAATGCAGGACATTTCTGCAGCCGATACTCAAATCTGATGAGATTTTCCTTGATGAAAAACTTATGTTAGTTGTGACACAAGTTACAGCTCCATACTGAAAATGAATGGAAACCAGTGACTAGTAAATGAATCTAAAAACACATGGTTTGCTTTGGAGGAAATATGGCAGTGACCTAAAGTATACCTAGACAATGGATTACACATCTTTTCAATATATCTTTAACCTGATGACTGCTACAACAACCCATGATGTCCAACCAGAAGATCAGCCTACAAATTAGCTGAATCAGTTCACAGCCAGGTATATTTAACTGTAATTAAACAGGACAAACCTATCAGAAGTGAGCCACATAAGAAAGAAATACTTGCATCCAAAGTTCATTACTGATCTTGGCAGTTGATAAAAAGTCTCCCCACAAGTGTCATTTGGTTGCTATTGTGGGATCAATCCATGATATGCAACATGAGATCAATTCCTCTCTGGTTAATTCTGACACATTTTACTAAACATACATGCAACCACTTGCTAGAACTCCATAGGGCACATTTGTGAGGCATGACACTGCTACTATTAAAGATATGCATGTAAACAAAGTTCAGAAACCACTTTGGACCTTTTGATCATGTCACATCATCATTATCAGCAGATGGCGTTTGCCCAATTGTCATTACTTTAAGGACCATCTATCTATGTTAGCACAGAGAATAACCGAATATGATTGAAAGCTCTGTTTCAGAAAAGCAATTTGTTAGCTTGGTTTCTACACAGATTCCAAACAGCACAACACCATTGTGATTATTTGGTAAAATATAGCTACTAAGACATTCACAACCACTGCAATGGACCTAATAAACCACATACATATGGCTTGTATTTCAGAGTGCGCCCAGTGTAAATTCACTGTCCCTGGGGTGGTCCTGCCTGGGACACAAAGAGACAGGTTGTGTGGACCTGGGGGTAGAAAGAAACACACAGCTACTGACTGAGCTCTCTTCAGTGTGATGGCCAGCACATTAACTGCTCCACTGCTTTTTTAAAAATGGTAGACAGGACACAACAGACCCCCTGCACACACACAAGCATATACTTGCTACAGTGTAAAGAGACAGCAGAGTCATCTTATTCAGTGCATGAAAAGTATAGTGCATGTAGCCTCCCTATCAAATACAGACCCTCAGGATAGCAACAGCGACAGTCAATCATGAAATTGTTCAAGTGTAGCCAGATTCCGTGGCATATTTCAGACTCAAACTGAAAGAGAAAAGGTGTGCTGGAAGGACAAGACTTGTTTCCATTTCTGGAAATGCCACATTCTGCAGGTCAAGTGTGGGTTAACAGTCTTTGGAGTGGATTCAGTCAGTTTTACACTAATTTACATCCACACCGCAGGTGAAACTCTTGGGATAATATTCTCATTTCCTGTTCTAATTTAGCCATCTTTCTCATCAGGGACAGATCACATGGGCACACAGGTCTGGAGAATATTTCTCAAACAAACATTAGATTAGATCAGTGTTAGTCATAATGACATGAAAGCTAATAACGCATAGTATTGCTTTGGATCAGTCATTCCACACATCAGAAGCAGCAGTACACTAGTTCATCTACAGATATAGCCAACTGTGCTGCTGGCTTTTACTATGCTGCTCATGTTGAATCCACCTCAATATTTCTAATACTGGGTCTCTCCAGTGTGTTTGCTGGCAGAGGTCCACAGCCTACAGTAAGATACCGTATTCTGCAGGCCTGTACCATCCTCGGCATGTCAACTTTGGCTTATAGCAGAGATATCTCAGCACCAGCATTAGTCATTATCAGCCGAAATGAGTTAATGAGATGAGCAAAACCCCTGCAGTATTAGTGTTACTACATTACGGATAAACACTGTGGACTATTTTGTCATTTCAAGTGGATCAAGAGATCATGATACTGCCCTTTAAACCACATGAAACAGATTATGTTTGCTTGTCAGAGAAGATTAAATGGGAAGACAGCAAGCTGAGAAGAACAGACAGCACCCTCTATTGAACAACAGGGGGTACTGCAGCACAGAGGGTCAGGAAAATTTGATACAAGGGTCTATGGTAATAACCTACTGTTGTCATACAGTACAATTTAACACTTAAAACACCGGCATTGATGAAATCTTAGAGAACAAAAATGACACCACAGCTGAGGCAGAAACAAGTGTGGCAGAATGAGGAGTAATCCATAATACTGATTACACCATTGATCATAGCACCCCCCGTCGGTGACTCTTACAGTACTGTGAGCGAGCGTACACACACAGCAGAGCACAACACTGCACTGCAGCACAAAGCCAACTCACAGCAACACCACAGTTCAGTGCTGATCTGAGAGAACACACTGTTCAGATACCATCAAATGTCCACATGAACTGGATAAAACTAAGTGAGCAGGAGGCCTGAATGCTGTACTTAATTGGTGCTAAAATTATGTACAGATTAGACAGTTATAATTTTCTGACATTTAACTGTAAGGTGAGTCAGTTAATGAAAATCTCTCTAATGTACTGTTTAACCAGGTATTTCCGTTTAAACTGTCAAGCCCAAGTTGTTTTGATAAGCAGGGTACACATTTTTACAACAAGTCAACATTATAACGAACATCTATTAACATAATTCAATCCAAACAAATTTCCAACTCAGAAATTATCATAAAGTTCAATTAACACATCTCTGACCAAACTTAATTTGAATGTATAAGGTTCATTCATCTAATATTCAATGCAGGTGTTCATTTTATTTTGCACACCCCCAGTAAAGGAAATGTCAAATGGACAATTTGCTGTCCTCCGTCCCTCCTGACATTTGGCTAGTGGGCATGAAGAGTGGATGGAGCTCATTTGTGTAGAAAGATTTTTGTGTCTTTGTGTCTCCCTCCCTCTGCTGGCACTGCACCAGCAAAAAGGGCACTGATTGGGAAAGCCATATGGCAGGTAACAAACCAAGAGCAGGCCTCATGTCCACACTGTGCTGCGGCTCAGGCACCCTGCCACCTCATCTGATTTGGCTCTGTGTTCTAGGCAAGCATGTACAGTAGACCAGAGCTTGGTGTAAATAGGAGTGTTACTGATGTGTCATCAGAAGCAGCTCTGTGGTCAGAGTAGTCTCGTGGCTGCAGAATCAGCAGTGAATATCCTAGTCACACCAACTGGGAAATGACAATGGCCTTAGGCAGATTAACAGTTACTACTGTATATCCGTTTAAGCAAAGCACAGCAGTGCGTAGGCAGAGCGATGCTTTGTTCTGAAAGGGGGCTTGTCTAGTGGTCGTAACAATTATGTAACTGGCACTATCTTTTTACTGTGCAGGAGACATGTGATGAGTCTTAATTGGAATCTTAGAAGTAGCTCAGACTGAAATCCCATCCGATTTGGATCCGTCTCTGGCCACATAACTCAGGAAACCAGGCAAGGTGTCACAGAGAACACAGGTTTTCCTATAGAAGTCAAAGGAGAGAACAGTGGCAGGCGTTTTAACCCTGTCATAGGCCCCTGTGCTTAGTCCGTCTGTCAGCCCTTTACTGCCACCAACATCACAAGCAACTGATTTACCACTGCTAAGTGAGGCCTCATCACCACATCACTTCATTAGTACTCCATCACATCTTTCAAATAACACACGTCTGTCCAACAGTTTAGCACAACAACAAACATTCTCTGTACAACAGGCCACACCAGATGCATAGTAAGTTTACAAACATTAAAACTAAAAACTAAACACACACCTACGGTGGCAGACAGGTCAACATTTGTGTTTTCACGAGTCTCCAGATCCACTTTGGCTCAACAGGTACGAACAGTATCCTCAATGAAGTCTCTCATTTATCCGGGGCAGGTGTTTACAGCTGCAGACACTTTCAATGTTGTTTACAGCTTCTACGCAGTTTGCTGCTGCTGCTGCTGTGTGAATGTACTTGTTTCACTTGTTTCCGAGTGTCCGACCCTGGTAAAACGAGTATTTGGTCGTTTACGATGTTACTTGCTCCTCTTGGCCGCTGGCACTCACAGAAAGAAAGCACCAAACTAACACGCTGTCCGCACCAGCCCATTTGAAAAATCCAATTTACATTGGCTGTCCCTTCTTTTTTCCTTTTGAGCATTCACTCCTCTCAGGTCTCCTTTCCGCTGTGGTCAAATTGATTTCATTCAGGAAGTGTCAAGGGCAACTAAGTTCACGCGACAACACCTGGCGCCAAACTGACCAATCAGTGTCAACAAATATCGCCATGGCAACAAATTGACCAATCAATCAGTGCACATGATTAACGGCATTACTCCTTCCTTGTGATTCTTCTTCTTCATTACTATTACTATTATTATTGACAGACAGAGTCCAGGATTTAAGCGCATGTGTCACAGTTTTATCTCTCATGCTGGAGCAAACTCTAGTCACTGGTTAAAATCTCTGGAGACCATTCTACAAAGAGAAAAGAAAAACCTGACGTGTGTGTTTAATGCCTTACTTACTGCCAGGTACAGTAACTGGAGCATTTTCCAGTTAGTGCCTGATCAATAAACGAACAACACAAAGATTAAAGGGGAAGCTCCAGTATGCTCGTAGGAACATTTATCCAGTTCTCTTCTGCCATCCAGTGGTGACAATGCACATGACTTATAGAGCACTTTGAAGTGCTGAGTGATATCCTATTCCCTCACCTGTCTGATTTGTACAGTAGTTGATTGATGAATAAATGGCTAATTTCATGTAAAGAGTTTGTTTATTTACATCAGTCTTTTCTTGTCGTTTCTGTCTATTTCTGTGAATATAAGAAGAAAAGCTCTCTGCTGGTTTTAGGCTTTATTTCAAACTCAGGACCTCTAGTCCTGTTATTAGCCCTAAAAGGCCCCTAAAAGGAGTGATTAACGGGATGTAAAATACATAAATATAGTGTCTCAGTGTTTTTATGAGAACATAATATTTTTGAATGTTTTGATTTCTCCAAACTCATTATGTAAAACAGCCTGAGGCATTTAATATTAAAGTCATTGACACAGCAAATGATTTGTGCAGCAATGAACATAAACTTGTCTGACTGAACCACAAGGGACATGGGATGAATGTTAGGAGGAGGGTAAAAAGATTTAATACCTCAATGCTTATTCAGCACATACAAGGAGAGGTGATGTGTGAACTCAAAGGTTGTGTGATCAGGAGACAAGATCCATACAGATATAGTACCAGATGCACAGATTATTATCTGTTTGAAAACCAGTGTTAGTGATAAATCACAATCAGTCTAGTCAGTTAACTTTGACCATATTGGTAAACACACAAAAAAACATCAAGCTGTACAGTGAATTCTCTCACACCGGCCATTGTCCCACCCTACCTTAAATCAGCCATTATAACCCCAGTTCTAATGAAGTCCACTGTAGACAGTCTAAATGATCACAGACCCTTTACTCTTATTCCCATTGTTACAAAGGGCTGTGAGAGACTATTACTGGAGCATATTAAAGCTAGCCTCCCTCCTGCCTTTGACCCCTATCAATTCACATATAGGGCTAACAGAACAACAAAGGATGTGTTGGACTAAACCAGTCCTGCGTGTCCTTTTATGAAGAATGCTCAAAGACAAATCTGTCTTTTGAGATATTTATTACAATCAACTACAAAGGGGACTTTTTCCAGTAAGGGAATCGTCGTCTCAAAATCAGTGAAGAAACCAACGGCCGATGGGGGCATAGGGCGTGCTATAAAATATGCAGGGACAAGTAGAAGAAGGGCCAGGAAACCAGCTGAGAAACAGAAATCGTAACACATCTCCTCCCTTAGGCAGTTTTCACAGTATTAATGCATCTCTAGTGAAAAAAGAGTATAATAGTTGAAAGACCTCACTATACAGGATGTAATGACCGTAGAATCAGGGTGTGTTGTCAAAATGAAAAGTTTGAACAAATGAGGTTTACTGTTTGACCCCATTTTATTTTACTGAAGTAGTGCATTGGCACAAACCTACAAGGTCCCTCAGATCTGCCATCACTATAGCTCTCCACACAGTGCTAGAGCACCTAGAACGCATTTTCTGATGCTTTTTATTTATAACAGCTCTGCCTTCAACACCATTATACTAGACATAGTGATCAGGAAGATGCTACACCTGGGTCTCCACACTCACCTCTGCACCTGGATTGGGGACTTTCTTACAAACCACCCTCAATCTGTCAAGTTTGGCCCTCACCTGTCCTCCACCCTCACACTCAGCACTGGCTAACCACAGGGCTGCATGCTGAGTCCACTACTGTATTCTCTTTATACATATGACTGAACACCAAACCATACCTACAACTCTGTTGTTAAATCTTCAGATGACACAACAGTGATCATACTCATCTCAAGAGGGGATGAGTCTGCCTATCGAGATGATATCCAGAAACCGATGGTGTGGTGCTTCGCAATAGAGAGCATTTTAACATACTGCTTGACAGCATGGTATGCAGAATGCTCAGCAGCTGACAAGGAAGCATTACAGAGGGTCATCAACACAGCACAGAAAATAATCAGCTGCCCTCTTTCCTTGCTCCAGGACACTGCAGACACCCGCTATCTCTCCAGAGCAAAGAACATTGTCAGAGACTCTTCTCACCCTGGTCTCCATCTATTTGACCTCTTGCCCTCAGGGAGGCAATATAGGTCAACAAAATCACAAACCTCCATTCTCATGAAGAGATTCTTTCCCAAGGCCATCCACTCTCTCAATCAACACATATAAGGACTCTAAAACACTTATAACCTTTTATTACTTGTGCAATATTATTATCTTATCTTACATTTTACACTGAAGCATATTTATTGTGTATGAATGGCGTGTGTAATGCAGCTGCTTGTGGGTGTTTTTGTGTGTATATGAATGGGTTTTAAGCATCGCTGGGAGGGGCACTCTCAGTTTCATTGTACTCTGAATACAATGACAATAAAGGCTTCTTATCTTATCTTAATTCTTGCCTTCCAGACAGCCACTGTTTTTACTTGCTAGTATAGAGTGAAAATCAGTTTGCAAAAATCAATTTGCGCTCACTTCACACACTTTGAGATATACAGTAGCTTACTAATGTAAAAAAAAGAAACCTTTACAATTGTTGGATGTTGAAAACACTTGAATAAATACATCAATCACAAGCATGTTTTTGAAACCATCTCTGCTTATAGCTGCATTTCTAAATGTCAATAACATAACTATGGCAAAAATATAAATGAAATAACTAAATGTTCAGTTTTATGTCTCTTCAGTTTTATGAAACAAGGGAATGGCCAATAATGTAAAGTCTTATGTAAAGTTTTATTTATAAGCTACAAACCTGATAAATAGTTTATGGGATAAAACACTAATAAATCACTGATGATCATGTTTTCTGAACTCATGTAGATGCACAGTTGATTTCAGTAGAAAGGAGATACAATGTCAGTAAGGCGAAGAGAGAATTAGGAGAAAAAAGGAAACAGGAAGTGTTGTGGAGGAGGAGGCCAGAGGTCAGAGTCCATCCCTCTGGGTCCCATTCCCTTCTCCTCGCTCCTCCCTCTGTCCATTCCTCATCTCCTTTCCTGCCCTGCCTCTTTTCCTCTGTGTATTTTTCTTCCATAGACTACTTACACATAGCTTCCTCTGAGCCTTTCAGTAAAGAAATCATTCCATATTCCTTTCAGTTCCATCTCTCTTTTCCATACAGCCACACCACAAAGCAATCCCTCTGCAGTCAGAACCAACACACCTCTGACACTTGTTATTGATCTGTCACTGCAGCAAATTTCCAAAATATTCAGTTCAGTTTACTTACATTAAAGCCAAACAGAGGAACATCTGGTGTTAATGTTTCAAACACAGAAACCTCAAAATACAAGAGTACTCTGTGGACCGTTAGAGTAATTACTGGTTATCTTCTACAAGGTGGAAGTGGGGCCAGAACAGCCAGTGACTCCCCTCGCGACACCCAACGAGTCCTCACTTCATCCCAGTCTGTTGCTGTAGATGTACAGCCCGCCTCCATCCACTTGTCTTCTATTCTTCTTTTCTAATCAGGCGTTCCTGCCAATCAATTTGATCACCATGACAACATTTCTCATGACGCCCCCCTCCAAACACCACTGCCACCACCTACTCCTATAAACAAAAACAAAACACACACACACACACAAAACGAAGCTGAATTCCGACAGCTCAGGATTGATGAGCGGGAGTCCTGTCAAAGGCCAGAGATTAGATTAGGACTGAAGCATATAAACACACTCGCACACACAAACCACAACGCAACTTGGAGGCAGCAGGTGCTTTTGGTTAAACCTTAATTACATGATCTCTGATTTTTCTAATTGATATGGTAATGACTATGTAATTAATGCAAAAGCAGAAATACCAGCAGCTCTCCTAATGAATGGATTTATTTGATTAGATATCGCGTATATTCATGTGTACCGCTATACAGAGGACACCACGATATAAAACAGCTGTTTGTGGATATTGTCACAATTTTGTCACCACTGGCGTGCTATAACTACAACAGTGAAGTGAGAGAGTTTAACATACATATAAACTCAAACTAAGCCATTTGCAACAAAAAAATGGAGAGAAAAGTATTGTAGGTCTTAAATTTACACTTTTTGCTTCCTAAAGTGCTAATGATTCTAGTAAAAAAGAAAAACACAAAAGAAATATTAAGCCCTGTTCTTTCACAGGTAGGTGGCACTGTCTGGCTGCCTCACACACACTGGAGCTACAGTTTGAATGAATGAACAGCACTGGTGCATCCTCTGAAATTCTAAAATCTAACAAAAAAGGTTTTTGTTATCTGAAGATATGATTTGGTTTGAAGAAATTCACATCTGTTTTGAGCAGCAAATAAAAAGCCAATGCTCTCCCACACATGAACACACACACACCTTCACTCTCTCATAGACACACACACTGACCTATAATTTTATCAATGGCTTAGAGTCAACTGTGACAACTAGATGTGCCCCAACTGCAATTACTCTCTGCAACACACACAAGGAGAGAGGAGGGCTGTGACAAAGGATAAGAAATCATTTCCCTCTGCATCAAACCCCCCCCACCACTCGCTGACCTATATGTCTCCATACTGTATGTCTTCTCCTCTTTGTACAGTAAGCTATCTGGAGGGATATGTTGTGCTAAGGCAAGTGAAACCACGTGTATACCCTGACCATGTGTGTGGAGCAGAGACTCCAGGCCTCACCATCTCCACACAAACCAGGCACTTCTCAAACAGCTGATCTGGACACCACTGTGCATGCCTCTCCTGTTCTGTCTACAGTAGACTGCAAAAGAACAAGATCCAACCTAAAACACACAGAAGATTTTTGTGGTTACAGCAACAAAATTAAAAGCATTCACTAAGAAAACTGAAGTTATTTGACATATTGGTAAGATTTTTTTTTTTACAAGGATGTATCTGATGGGGCTTCAACTAAAATACCAGTAGCACATGACCTACAACGCATGACAAAGTTGCAGCACTTGGATTTCTTTCTCAAGTGGATGCATGTCCAATGATAGACAATAGATTTCTCCACTTCTGGGAGGAAATAAGGACTTCCCTTTCTCCAGGCCATTCTACAAAAAGTGGTCATAAAATCATGCATTTTCTTTTTCCTTAAATAATTTTTATTTCCTATATTTCCTTGTCTGAAAAGTGAGGAGAATGATTTTCATCTGTTAAGCCACAGTAGCAAAAAAATGAATCACGACTCAAAATGGGTGTGTTTGCTGTTTACACTAGTACTGCAAGGCCAAAATACATATATGGAGTCCATCCTCCTGAGTGCCATTCCCTTTCTCACACTCCTCCCTCCACTCATTCCTATGAAAACAACCATGGAACACAACATAAAACTTTCCACAAGCATGGTTCTGGATAAGCTGCCCACTAAATCCATTTGGTAGATTTCACAAAGCACTGCCTTGCAGAACCTGACATGAGAGGAGCTACTGGCATTAATGAATGGTGGAACGCTAGGTGGTTAACTAACTTACCTCTGAATAATACGTTTCTTAAGGGGCCACTCGGGCCATGGTTGATGGATGGCCTTACAGAAGCCAGGTCAATTAGCCAGGGTGGATTTCCCTCCACGTCGACTGCAGGCAGCAATGGGATAGCTCCCACCACTGTCACACTCCTGACTGTAATTAATCACCAGTGTGGGGCCTTCTCACCTCACACCAGCATGTGCACAAACAGCCAATAAGTGCATTTGGCCCAAATTACATCCCCACTCCTCTTATCTGGCTAATTGTCAGTATTATACCCAGAGGAGGAAAAAGATCATGGCATAAAGTCTACTAACGTCTGCCTATCCTACAGTGTTGTCTGTCTACTGCTCATTTTACAATGAGATGTTTGGAAATTTACTGAGGCAGACCTAACAAATAAAAAATGAAACCATGAGAGACAGGTAAATACATTTATTGTAGCCTAAATAAGCTTTTGGGTGTCACAGATTGGTTTTACTGTGTTTATTCACAACAGGCCACAGTTAACTAATGTATCGACAGCTTACACTAAAGGCACAAGTTGTGATGCAATTGTATACTAAATAGTAGTCCCCACCACCAAAAGCCAAAACACTGGAAGCCTATTGGCAGATCTTTTACAAGACTAAACCTAGACAAAAACTAAGTCATGGTGTTAACGGTTTGTTTAATATAAATGTTTACACATGCATACAGTAGTAAAATGGCTCTATATGTGAATTATGATGAGAAACACACAACCCACTGAATATCTTAAAATATCTATGCCTCAAAATCAAAACAATAAAATGACTAATGACCTTTTAAATCTACTTGAATAATAAAGAATTCATACATTATAAATCTTGTCAGATTTCATAAAGTTTTCAAATGCGAGATCAGAAACAGGGTGTGAGCATCAAATGAGGAACAAATAATGACTTTAGGAACCATCATTCTAGTTACACTTCTCACCAGATGAAGCTGTTATGGCTGTTCTCTCTCTCTCTCACACACACACATACACACACAAACAGCAGCATGCAGAGCAGAAGTGGGGACAGAGATGTCACTTTGTTCACAGACCACACTCCTGTGGTCTGTGAACAAAAGCAAGCAGGCTGACAGATGAGGTTTGTGTTTGAAAGCAGGGGAGCTATGTGTTGCTGCTGCTGTGTTGCGTGTGTGTGTGTAAGCACATGTGGTGTGTTGTTCTTATGCATATGTACATGCATGCATGTCTGAGCATGTGTGTGCACCTATACGTGAATGTGCATGTGTGTTTATGTGTGTGTATATGTGTGTATGTTTTGTTGGGGGGCAGTCTCATGGGGAAGCTCTGTGTCTGTCCCATCTGCCACCCCACTCTACTGACACCCAAGGGAATGGCAGAAGGGCTGGAGGGATTCATTTTAGAGAAAGGAATCAGGGTCCAGTAGTCTAATGGGCCACAATACAGGCTTTACTAAGGCAAAGGACACTGCCGGGGTGTGTGGAAGCCAATCTACCAATCTTTTTGACAAAACAGTGGGCCACCCCTGTCAAGCTCTGCCTCGTCTGCCTAATAAGGCACGCACACCCCTGAAATTATGCCTAAAATGAGAAAGGGGTGCACTGTATTTTACACACACCCGGGGCTAATATCAGCCTAATGCATGTCCATGCTGTGGCCAGAGGGCTAATTGGGTATATAAACACAAACACATCCCTTGAGAGGGAAGAGGGGAAGGGTGTATATGTATATTTGGTGCTATATGCTCCCTCACTTACAAGGAATAGAATCCTGAAACTTAAACATTGAGGCATATTGTATTTAGCAATACCGATAATGAAAGATGACATGGTTTTTGCTCTCATATGCCCAGCAGCTATTGCTTTATTGTAGCTGTGCATGCAGTGTGATGTGGAACGACTTGGTGGCAGGTGGCACCTCATCCTGTCTTTATCCAAACTGTGATCAGAAGACGGTAAATGGCAGCCACAACAGCAGCCACAACAACAGCAACAACAAAACAGTCATGTGAAAGAGGAGCATATGGCTCCTGCACCACTGGGCAGAAGGTGCACTCAGCAAGATGAATGCTGAGGTGCTGGCAACAAAGCTGACTTTAACTTGTCAAATTAAAATCATATCAAGAGAGCGAGAGAGAAAGAGAGAGAGATGAGGAGGAAGAGGCAGCAGCGTTCTGACAAGTCTTACTTGATGTTGACAAAGACAGCGCAGAGGGAAACAGTGACGTGCTGTTGAGGTCAGATCACAGACAGTGTCAAATGTTTGAAGTCCACATGTCTCTCACTGTCACTGAGCAGAGCTGTTGATTCGTTTATCACAGAAACACACAGACACATGCATCCACTGGGTGCTACCCTGCCCCCTCGTTGCTTTGAGCACTATGTTAATGAAACAGTTGCTGTTTCCTGGCATAACATTAATTACCCGATCAAAATAGAGTGAGTAATTAACTGCCCTTCTTTACCGGTGCTAATTACATTAGCAAAGAAGTACCATTTTGAGTAATGTAAAAAAGAGGAGAGAGCAAAAGATGGGATGAAGCTGCACCAAACAAAGAAAACAAAACTAGGCACATGCCTACGTATGCATGTGTGCGTTTTAAGAGAGAGAGAAAACGACAGAGAGAAGGAGGCCACGTTGGAGGGAGACTCATGTGGTTCTCACTTGGGCCCCCAGAGGCTTGGTCCTCAGAGAAAAGCAGGCTTATTGGAGAGGAGAGAGATGGGGGTGTTGTTGTTTATCTTGACATGCTCTACTCAGTCTTTAACGCTCGCATCACAATTAAGATGCTGCGGCTCATCAGCTATGTATACAAAACAGTGTAGCATGCTGCACAAGCACACAGGTTTATGAGAAGAGTCAAAAATAGATCCAGAAAAACCTTGAGATGTGGAGTCTTGTAGGAAAATCTTAATGTCCAGGAAACTGAGGTAACAGTGTGTGTGTGTGTGTGTGTGTGTGTGTGAGAGAGAGAGAGAGAGAGAGAGAGAGAGAGAGAGAGAGAGAGAGAGAGAAAACACTTACTGTGCGATTCTGTTTCTGCACACATGTAAAAAGAAGTTGCCAAGAGAAGTCACAGTTCAATGCAATATAATATCTAAAACAGTTTAAACCAACATCAGTGTTTTTTTATTTGTTTTATTTGGAGCACAAAATATAATTACACCTTGAGATATACAAATCACATTTGCACCATGTTTTTGTACCGTTTCAAAGAAAGATGGCTTTGAAAAACATAATATTAAATTGCTAATCATTTTTAAATAAATAAAATTAACCAAACTAAAAAACAAATTCGTAAATGTCATCTGCTCTTTGTGTTCTTTGTTTTCATGTCCTGAGAATGAAGTTTATGTTGTAACGACAAAACTTAATAAGCAAGAACAGCATGATATGGGTTAATGGACACATAAAGTACTCTGCCCTGTTCTTTTCTATCTAGCAGTTGTGCTTTCATTTACTGTACTGCATAGTGACTAGAGACCTGTGATGGGTTGAAACATTCAAAATGAAACCATAAAGTCTATAAATTATAGTCATATAAATTCAAATTTGCAATGTGGAATGAAATAATATCAGGGCACTGGTGTGACAAAGCATGCATTATAAGGGAAATTAAAAAGGATAAGGCTCTAACAATTTTCCCTTTACACAAGGACAATAAACTTCTTTAACTGTGGGCATAACATTAAGATTTTGTTATGCTAGAGCTACAAACTGGGGATGTTTGAATCCAAATAACTGAATTTTTCTTCTCCACCAAAAACTCATTCCCTCTGATCATTCAACAAACTAATTAGCAATTGCTGGGATAACTTCATTTCAGTAACATCTGGAAAAAGGACCAGTTTATAAAAACACACACCACTTTATATTATTCCCTAAACTAACTATAATAAGTTAAATTGCTTGTTCTTAAATAAATCAATATATGAATTCCTTTAGTAATAACCCTTGAGTCAAAGAGTTCTTGCTTGTAAAACTGTAGAGATCAGAACAAAAAATAAAGGGTCTATTTTTCTGGAATGTAAATTGTCTGCAAAAAGTCTACTACAAAAATCTCTCACTAACTCACAGACATTGTACACACATGCCATTTAAGGTGTCCATACACAGATAAAATAGCATCCTGCGTTTTAGAGCTGTAACATTATATCAGAGTTGTCCATCACAATACTTCCGTAACTGTATCAAAAACGGCTTGTGACAGTAGGCCAGAGATCAATACAGCTGCTTTTGAAGCTCACCGTGAAATCAGGAGCAGTTTTGCTCTATTTCCTTTGAAAATGAAGATGCCTCATTACACACACAGCAGTATATGATCCAGTCTGGTGCTGTTAGCTAAGGAGTATGATTTGTGGGTGGAGTAATCTCCTCTGCCTCTGAAGGAGATGGCTGGTCTTTGGACATTATCATACCCCGCCCTGTTCATCCACCTGGATGAAAAAGGGGCTAAGTAATGGCGGTGGGCTCAGGGAGGAAAGTTTTACATGGTCACTAGTGATCAATTTTCCATTTCCCCCGCCCCGTCAGTGCCAAAAGAGGGGCTAAGTGAAGCAGTGGTCTGGGGTAGATTGGGGTGGGTGCTTTGCTACATCGGGGGAACAACCAGGCTCGTCAATGCTGGAGAGAAAAAAAATATAAAAAAATCTATGATTCTAATCACTCAGGTCCTGTATTATTGTACATCCAGCAACTGTTTCTGCCCTGTTCAGTCATAGCTTTTGAGAGGTTAGTATAAGGGGTTAGACTGCATTTGTAAGTTCAGACAGGGGGGTCAGATAGTGAGTTGGGTGGCTACCTCTGAAGCTGTTCCCCCCTGAAGCAGGGCATGCAGGAGAGGGAGAGCCCTGGGGCCTGAGGACAGGGGCAAAAGCACTCTTCTGTTTAGCAGCAGATGGGAATGAGGAGAAAGGTAAGAGAGATGATGAGGAGCTGGAGCTTCCTGGTATAGTGGGGCTGGAGGGCATAACTGTGAAACAGAGATCAACAGTCAGTCTCAAGTCTGAAAATCAAAACAGAATCAGCAGTATGAGGTTAATTAACACACAAATGGATAAACAGTGGGAGAG